TTCTAACAGGCCATAATATTAATTGCGATTTTTATTTAGACAGGGGATCATGGGATGCCAGAGGAACTTCATTACGCCCAATGATGTGCCCCTTCTTGCCAGAAGATAGCAATGTCAGCCAACTGTATTTCTCCTACTGATAAGGCAGTTAAAGATGTATAGAGATAACAACTGTATATAAGACAAAACAAAAACTCAACAAAATTATGCAATCTATATGTGTATAATTATATGGGATCTGATGGACGAGTAATTAGCGTTCGTTGCCACAGGTTCTTGATTCGAGTCCTGTTGGCGTCATGGATGTTTGCAGTGGTTCGGAATCCATCTTAAACCGTTGGTCCCTGTCTAATAAGACTGTTGGGCTTAGAGGTGACACACTACCCTTAGCCTGCTTAGTGCCCTTAAGCTAGTGCCCTACCCTTAGCCTGCTGAATGCCTGTATCCTTAGCCTGCTTTGTGCAAAAAAGAAAGCACTTGCTCGAAATCTGCCAGTCGGCAAACGGCCTTGGCTTACCCTAGGGCTATTGCGTCAAAGGAGAAGGATATATATAACAAGTCTATTATACAATTTTAGATTCATATAAGCCATGTTTACTTGTTCTATTATGATTGCGGGATAGTGTTAAAGAAAGAATCAATGAAAAGTCAAGGAACTCTTAAAAGGGTCAACTGTCAAAGAAGTTGATTCCCTTGTTCTAAACTTAAATTAAAAATTTCTAATTTAGAAACTTGAAACTCTTAAAGCCTTTTTTTTTCCTAAAGTTAATTTATAAAAAAAATCTACTTAATACTTTTAACCTTGGAAACAGCATAATCTGCGTAATTATAAACAAATTCGATATTTGACCTGTAATCATTTCGGTAGTCTTAATTATAACCATTTCAGAAATAATGAACGAGAATTGAAAATCCCTACTTGCATTTAATAATAAAAATTCATTTCTAAAGTGAGTGGCACATGAATAAAAACTATTTCAATAAATGAAATTTTTTTAATAAGGAAACCTACTTAAATATTTTTGTGTTTAAGCAATTGCTTTAATCACATTTTGCCCTAATTCATTTATATTGTTTTTTATGATTCATGTCAAGTTTATTCTTTTCTTAATGCCACTAAAATTTAGGCTAAATCGGCACAGTTTTATGGTGAAAATAGATTTAGCAGATGTTTCTGTGAGAATTATTTCCGTTGTCGAATTTCTTAATTGGTTCATTTAGTAAAACCCATTTACATGTTGGTTAATCCCTTACTTAAACTACGTCCTTAAAAGTGAACGAGCTTTAATTTTCTGGGGATTCCGTAAAAGCTTATCTGCTTTGGTACCTTATTAGTTGGGAATGAAAAAAAAAAAATGGCTGATATCTTTTGGGGACTCTTTTAATTCCATATCTAGATGATCAAAAAAAATTATTATTTAATTTTTGCTCTGCTTGTTTCAGTCCTTTTCCGTAGGATTACTTGAATTAATGATGCTGATTTTGATTTCTTACGAAATATTTTCTTTCTGGAAAGAATTCTTTCAACTTTTTTTTTTTAGAAGGCACAGACAAAAAATATTTGATCAAGATTTTGTTTAACTAATGACTTTATATCGATGATAAAAACAATTTTTATTTCCTAATGTATTTATATTTTTGTTGTTTTTATTTGAAAGATGGATCTTTTAAATTTTTAATAGCTTTTCATTGTGACCTGATTACTAATCTGCTTGTTTCTAAATTTTTATTCGAGCGCTTAAAAATCATAAATAATATTTTATTTAAATAAAAACGTTAAACAATAATACTATTTAAATAATAATATTTATGTTAAATGTTTTTATCAATATAAATTGTGAATTATTCAAAATTATGATAAATAACGCAAGTCATACCGTTATAAACATACCTTTTTTTTTCTATTTGTGTAAGTTTATCATAATTTCTATTAATTTAATTTAATTTTTTTTTATTAATAATAACTTTAATTATATTATTATTTATATTTTACCACTCATTAAATTTTTTATCAGAGATGTATTTGAAAATAATTCAAGAAATTTAAATTTATATAATATCAGTGATAATTTTAAAATTCAAAAATTATTTAATTTTTTTAAATAAAAATCTAATGCATAAAAATAAATAATCATAAATGCATAAAACTATCAATTTTTAATGAACTTACTCTTGAAGTCATCATCATGGGTATGAAGAATTATTACATATTCAGAGTTTTCTACAGTACAGGAAGATATATATTAACTCTTCATTGATACACATAACGGTTAAAAAAAATGCAGCGTTCTCTATAGTACAGATTGGTATTCCTTCATTCATTATCGGTACTCATAATTGTTGCAGATTTAGCCTGTTTTATTGTGCCTGATGGTATATCTTAGTTTATCGTTGGTATCATGATGGGTATATCTTAGTTTATCATATTTAGCCTTTTTTATAGTGCTGGATGATACACATCACCATTGATACGCATAATTATTGCAGATTACGTCTTCTATAGTGTAAGATGGTATACTCCATTCATAGTATGAAATGTAATACTACAGATTCAGAGTTCTTCATATAGCGCAGGGACAGTATAGATATATATTTTAGCGAATGCGCTTGGTTGAGAAATGGACAGTTAAATTTTTAAGCTAATTTTTTATCTATATTAAAATATGAGAAGTTTGAATAAATAATTGGTGTAAAGTATTGCTGGGAGTTTAGAGAGCTTTAGTGTATTTGTACCTTTATATTTACAGGAAAGAAATCAATTTTTTGAATATGTTGTTGTTTCTAAATAGAGATGGCAATACTGAGACAGTCAATCTTTATGCCACAAGCAAGGGCTGCATTGATGTTACTCATTTACAGCACTACCCAGGGGGCATCAATATAGCTTGCGGAATATGTTACGGACGGGAAGTAACACTACCCACACAACGCTCTACGATCACATTAGATCGGGACATTGAGTTCAGTGATTCCGAACCGCTACAAACATCCATGGTACCGCCGAGACACGAGCTCGGAACCTGTGGTACCGAACGCCAGATCGCGCTAGTCACTCGGCCATTCAGGCCCCTCAAATAATGAACAATAATAATGTACACTGTATAATATGTTGAACACTATTACGTTTTTAATAGTATTAATAAAGAAATTTTATGTAAAATTTTGAAAAAAATGCGATTGATTTATATATGCAGAATATAATGATAATTAAATCCTTAAAAAAACATTGTATAAGTGAATAAATTTTTATGTAATTTAATTTAATTTTAAGATTAATTAAAATCGTTCAAAAATTTAAAAAAGTTTTATTTTATGTTGTTTTTCATAAATGCCCTTCCTCTTTTTGTCGTCTACATTTAGACGACTTAGGAATTTATTGTTCAGAGAGTTTACTGTTTAATGTTATAAATAGAAAGAATTTAATGATCATTTGTTAGACCACACGCGGAAGTAGGGTGAACAAAAAAAAAAAAAAGGCAGCATGATATTCAAATGTGTCTTTTACAATGGTGATAAAATCTCTATATTGTCTTTCGGCGTGGTGAAAAATTCATAACAAGACAAGGAAATGGCCTTCTTTAAAAGTAGTTTCAATGAATATACTAAATCGTTTTGAATAAAATGAGGCTTGTTTTTTTCTCGCACGTGAAGAATTCACGTGTATGATCTTTGTATGATAACTTATTTTCACTGAAGGTTAAAAAGTTAAAATAATTATTGTAAATAATTATTGTTAATCCTCAATTAGATTTTTTTAAAAGTAACTAAAATCTTTTAGAAAACATTGGGTTTTATGAATTCGAATAATTTTATGAATTTTAGGCGAAATATATTTTTTTTAAACCAATTTTACATAAATAAAATATTACAATAAATTATTTTCAATAATAAATTAAAATTTGTTTTTATTATTGGGTAATTAATACAACCAATATTATAGAAACACTTTAATTGTACTTCTGCAGTAGCTAAATTTATTATTAACTGTAACCTTTGTCTTTAAAAGAATGCAGAATTTCGTTTACCAAATAATTAAAAACATAAATCATGATAAAATTGAATGATTTATGAATAAATCAAAATCATGTAAATTTAAGATATTTTACTATTGAAAAACTATATCAATTCATAACAAAAGTTATTAATATAGTACTATATTAAAGAGCATTCATTACACAAAAGAAGTTAAGCATATTTCTAAACAAAAACAAAATATTTATAAATAAGAAATCACATTTATGAATGACTCCAACACATTGATGTAGATAAAACCTCAAAATCTATATTAATAAATAATCGTAATAAAAATGATAATAACACTGCTAGTATGTTTCATTAAAATAGAAACAATGTTTTACCTTAAGATAAGTTAAAACTAATGCACCCTAAATGTATATTTAGGTTTCTTAAGTTTCAAAAATTAAGGAAAAAAATATTGTAAAATATTGCCGTCACACAGCTAAAAATAATTTTTTATACACATAAACCACATATTATACATAAAAAGTCTTACTGTATAATATTATGACAATCAAAATTGTGCAGCTACTGTCGTTAAAAATCATACTTTAAAAACATGGCGTTTATCAATATGTAATTTTTAATTAGAAACGGTGTAGTGAAATTTTGTGGCAACCTTGTTTTAAATATGAGTATTCGACATCATTTGTTTGAATAATTATGTTTATCAATTTAACTATGATATGTTTCCCACAATAATTTTTTTAAACCAAAAAGTTATTGATATTTAAGGGCGATTCAAAATTATTGCAATCATGCTAATAACCCTTTCCCCAGAAAAATAAATTAAAATTCGAATGCTTTTTCATATTGTATAATATTTCATATTATTTTCATATTGTATATATATTAACAGCTCACTTTCCTAAAACTCACGAGCTATTCAGATTCAATTATATGTAGCCCATTACCTGAATGTGAAATTCTCTGAAATTCACAGCCTATAGGATGCTTTTATTTATTTGATTCAGAACTAACTTTCTGTCAAACCGGAGTCGAACCATGGATCCGTGGCGACTAATGGATGTTAGTGAATTTCGCCCATATAGTCCACCGCTCTGCCAACTGAGCTATCGACAGACATAGAACAGCTTTTATAAAGAGCATAGCTAGATTCTAGAAATTTCATCCTGAAAAAATCTAAAACAGTAGTTCTCAATATTTATAGGTTTCTAAAGTTGGGCCTTATTTAGAATCCTACAAATAATTTGTAGCCCATCAGACACAAATTTCTGACAAATACACCTCTGCTACTAACGCATAACAATTTTATATCCGGATGGTTAACTCTACAGACTTCTACTTACTGACAAGGAGTCTCAGAGGGGTGCAGTTGAAAATTTTTTTTATATTAAAAATTACATAGACTCTACACCTCCTTGTTGGCAAGCACAGAAGATGCCACTCTAGTTTCTCGGAAATATTTTTTGGCACATTATTGCTATTTGGTAACTTTTATGCGAAGAAAGAAGATAAAAGTAACTAGAAAAATAAGTTTATTTTTTTTTTAATGACAGTTATCTTTGAATAGGAAATCGGATAAGAAAAAGATTAACTATTTTATTTTTATATTTGGAAAAATATTTGTTAAATACCACAGGGTGCAGCCTTTGAGAATCACTAGCCAGCTGTATGCAGATAACTGCAAGGAGGCGTAATACGCTTCATAAACACATATTAAATTTTCTTTTGTAGCCTGAATTCATTATTTATTGGCTGATTACTATACAGGTGTAATTGGTAATTCCTTCATATAGCAAGAAGATAATGCTAAACCAAACAGAACGAAAAAAATAGGGTTTTGGTGGGGTTTTCGCATGTAAGTACAAATCAGAACAAATTATTTTGTAGAATACCTTAAGAAAACCTTCAACCATAAAAAAGCAATTTTTGTCAAGCAAATGTAGTAAAGAGGACTATGAGTTAAAAAGATATTATGAACAAAAATGATGTGTTTCTGTATCAGCAGAAAATATTGATTTTAATCATTCTGAGTAATTTTTAATCATTGGTTAAATTAACTGATTGAATGAGTATGCATGAATTCTGAGTCATTCAAAAACGCCAAACTGCATTTTCTTATCAAAATCTTAAATGAAGTACGTTTCATTGCCAGAGAAGGAATGTAAAGATATATTTAAAATATTTCATATATTTATAAAATATTTCAACCAAATATTTCATATATTTATAAAAATTACAAACATCAAAATCAAAAGTTAAATACTTTATTCTATACGTTTTTGTAACATCAAAATGTTACAAAGAAGAATAAAAGAAAAATAAAATATTACATAAAAACAAACTTATTATATTTATTATTGTTTACAAACTCTGATAAAAGTCATTCAGATTAGTATAACAGCAAGCCAATATTAAAATATGTAAAAAACTTACGTTTCTCATCATAGATTCAGCTTGATTTAAATTGAAATTCCGAGCTGTTAAAAAAGAAAATCAAACAATGAAATGTTTTATGGTAAAATATTAAGCATATATATTTAATTATTTGAAGAAAAATAAATTAAAAACTTGAATAAGAACTAAAATTTTTCGCAAATTTAACGAATATTAGGGTTATAAAAAATTCTAGCAATCAAATTATCTTTAATTATTACATAATTTTTGTAAGACAAAAATTTTATTTTCAATATGTAGTTTGAAACTACAATTATAATTAAATCGTTCTATGTGAACAAATATGTTCGTTGTTGTGAAACTCGTTCTATGTGAACATATAATTTTACGAAATTTACAAAATTTCTAATATTAGTTATTGAAATATTTTCAAAGGAAAATAAAATGAAAAATATTTAAATATATTAAATAATAATACATTGAAATCATTAACCAAAAAAGGAAGCAATTATAATAGTAATTGATATTAACGTAGTATCTCGCATTGTTAATAAAATAAACTTTATTAAGCGTCTGAATATAATGAATATTCTTTTCAATTTTTATAAATTATTATTACAATATCTGATAATCAACATTAAAAATCAAATTACTTTTTGAAAATTCAGTTAATGAAAAATTACCTTTAAGGAATTTGTAGAAAATGTATTTATCGTCATACATATCTTTTGGAACATCGTCTTTCATTATTTTTCTGAAGCTGTAACAAATTTTCATTTTATTTATTAAAATTATGTATATTAAATATCTATAAGAACTTATATGTTTTTAAGAGTTTGAATTTGATATTATTTGAATATTATGCCAAAATTATTTAATCAAAAGAACTACACTTTTAAAGCAGGCATGCAAATCCCACTACTCATAGTTGCTTTTCTAATGATCATCCTCATCAGTTTCATAATAGATATTATTATTATTTTGGGAAGTTTTTAAGATTTTTGATGGAAACTTGAACAAAGTATGATACTTGATTCATCGTTAATTTGATAAAGATATAAGCTTTTAAGTATTAGAAAATATTTTTATTCAATGCTTACTTATTTATTGTAAGCTGGAAGATCAAAGTCTTTGCCAATAATGTGTTAACCTAGATACGGATTGATATTTATATATTTATTACCCAAAAACTGTTCCACATTAAATGTTCAATCTTTAGTAAATTAATATAATTGTTGCTAAATAATACATTAAAATATAACTGATCTGTTTAAAAATATATTTAATAAGAAAAACAACATAAAAACATTATTAGGAATGGTTATAAAAATATCAAGAGATAAAACGTATTTCATTAATAACTAATACACTTAATTTCTATTTGTTTTCTTTTTTCTTTTATTGTTATACAGCCTAATATTTAAAATGATTATTATGTTATTTCTTTATTTCTTTTTATATTATTATGTTATTAATTTTTTATTTCTTACAAAGATGTTGGATATATTCCAATATTGTTTTGTGTTATTTGTGGGGAATTTACAATATTCCTGGGACTTTCACTAGCCTGTGCATTAATACTTTAAGGAATGCGTATTAAAAAGCACATTGCATAACAAAATTCAATAAAAACAAATGCTAAATCAAATTTATGTTTTACATTATGATTTATACTGATGAATATCTGTATAAGCATAGAAAAATAAGTTTCAGGGATGCTGGTCTTCCAAAAGTATAAAAAAATAGGCTTCTGTATAAGAAGCTGAGTTTAAAATAATTTTCTTTATTGTTATTACATCAATTTTAAGGATTTATGTAATTGCATTAACATCTAAAACACCAGTGTTTCCTGTATTCACTTAAAATACGTATGGAACTTTTAGTTTAAAAGGAACTTGATATGCTTTATTTGTATATTCACATCTTTCAAGGATATTGGCTTTAAATTAATAAATTTTAATTTTATATGAAAAAAACACCACATTAAAAATGACATGTAATAATAAATTAATAATCTTATAAATTATTTATTGTTAAAATTGCATGAATTTAAGTAAGTTTTATTAAATGTTGCATAATTTTACCACTGATATTAAAATAAACTACAGAAGAACAATTTAAGCTAGTACTTTAATTAAAGAAATATTGTTTTTCTAAGTTTAAATTTGGGAAATGTAGACACTGAAATAATAAAGAAAAGATTTAATAAGATCTTACCTCAACAACTGCATTTTTTTCATTTTCAGTCCAGTTGTCAATCATTTTGCCTGCAATGTTAAGGACTTTAAGGTGTTATTCTAAAAAATAAATGAATTTTAATTAAAATGTATTCATATTGACAAAAATCTATAAAAATATCTTTTACAAATATAATCAATTAATACTTATGTTGATAAATTAATTAATGCAATAGGATAATTATTTGCTAGAATACAAATAAATGTATAAAGTATAAAATATTTCCTCCTATTCTGAAATACAAAAAAATATTAATTATACTCATAAAAAATACTTCATGTACAAATAGTAAAAGTTATATTAAATGCTTTTTTTTACCATTTCTATATTTAAATTTCTTAATTCATGCTAAATTAGATTAATATTTCAATGTTATTCTTCACATTATAATCTCATTGAATTTTTGAAATATTCAGTAATTAAAATGTTTACACTTATTATGTAGAAATACTTACGTATAAGTTAAGGGATCTTCGATGAAGCGTTAGAAAATGTTTAGTAAAAATCTATCATGAATTCTTATTTACGAAAAGAAAGAATTCTGTTTTCAGTACACTTTGATCCTTTACTAAAAAAGATCTTATTTAATATATGACTAAAAAGCAATTGTTTGTGATCAATTACAAAGTAGAAGTAATGCAAAATCCATAATAAGATTAAGGAAAAGTATACTTATGCATACATTTTATCATTGTATTTCTTGTGAATGAAAACAATAAAATTATAAATAATAAAACAAAATAAAAAAAAATTATCAACTTTGCTTTTATATCGTATGCAGTGAACCATTATTTAAAGAATAGATTAATGAATAATAAAAACATAGCATATACGTTGCGAAATATATATTTTTGTTACTGTCAAATGAAAAAAATATATATAATCATTTTAAACGAAGTTATATATTTATATTGATAAAAAATATTCAATAAATAAATAATTACAAATGAAAATTTAGTTTCTTCTTGCAGAAATATATTTTAATCCTAGTATATTTGAACTAACCAACATTTAAAACTAAATTGAGTCAAAAATTGTAATGCTATTGTATTAGGTGATATTAAAAATGAAATTATTTGAATATTTTTTCATATATTCCATATTATCATGCTGTTAAGAAACATTCCATATGTATACAATATACACACACACCTGTTATATATATATATAAATATATAACAGGTGGACAAGAAACGTTCGTAGGCTGACACATGAAGTTTAAACCTTGAAGTTTAGTTTAGTTAGTAGAAGTTTGAAGTTTATTTTAACCTTTTGAAGGTTAGAGCTAACTAAAAATCATATGGATTTAATACTAGTAGCGCCATCTATGTGTCAGCCTATGAACCTTCCAGCCACCTGTTATGTGTGTGTGTGTGTGTGTGTGTGTGTGTGTGTGTGTGTGTGTGTGTGTGTGTGTGTGTGTATGTATGGAATCCTTTGATGACCCCTTTCAAAGGCCTTTCGTTACATGTTTTGAAGACTTA